ACCGACTTATGTAAATGCCTGTACAGTCTTATGTCAGCCGTCAAACGTTGACTCGATAATTATAGAATTAATATTCTTCTTGTCATTGACATCAGTGTGGTTGTTGTCATTTTGCTTTTGACGTTGATATCCAGTGCAATTTTATTTAATTCTATTACAATGATGTTTTCTACTGTCTGTACCTATAATGATCTCTTGGGTTTTTTTTTCCATATAACTCATCTGACATCCTCTCTATCCTTGATGCAGGTAGGTACCCAGATCATACTTAGGAGTAGTCTCTTTTGAACTGTTTAACACAGCACTCGACGAGAGCCAGGAAAATCATAAAATAATAAATAAGGAATACGATGAAGTCACTTAATGTTGATCATTCCTAGGATGCAGTTGACCGAATCGGTGGGAGTAACATTCACTTGTATGTTGGAAAATATTATAAAGAGGAGCTGATTCTTGGTTAATTTTCATGAAAATTTTCATCCTTTTTTTTTATTATAACCCAATAACCCAAAAGGTTGTTTTCAACTCGTTTATTTAGGAGCGGTTGATTTAGAAATATTTGATTGGAAACTGCAATCAGATTTTTTTGTGACACGTCATTCAGAAATAAACAAATCATTTTCAAACATACTTTTATTTACTGAATTACAAAGTTATTTCCACTTCGAAACAGCTATACTGTTATTATAACCAGAAGCTATTGGAACTTAGTTGAAAAAAGTATTACATGGTTTAAGCTCTCGAATGAACTTGACGCAAGAAATTTACTATAGAATACGACATTTTTATTATCTGTAAAGTAAATTTATAATAATTAGAAGGTGAACGAAACACACCTAAGCTCGACATAAGCAAATAATATTATTTCATTCAAACTAGAGTGCAGCATATTGATTATGCTTTATAAATGATTACCGTACCAAAGATACAGTCCAAGCAAAATCAATAACGAACCTTTCTGCCCTATAATTTGCTGAAAATTTTGACTCATATTATTTACCCATAAGAATGTGTTCAAGTTTAGTGTACACAGTCCATGACAGGAAACACTTTGGCCTCTTGTATTGCAAGTCATCAAAAATAACAAATATTTCCTTTCTCGAATATCCATGGAAATCCAATCGCTATGGTATATCGCATCAGATATTTCTTGACTCTGTTTTTAGATAACCATAAAACGACAAATCAAAGTTTTTCCTATAGATTGATAGAAATGAAACAAAAAACAACTTACCGTCAATTCTAATTGATTACCGAACCAACAATAAATGAAGATATACTGCAAAATCTTCGAAGAGAAAACGCAAGCTCTCACGAAATCAGAGCTAAATAGGTTGTACTACGGAAAAGATAATTGAATATTTGCAAAAACGAAATTTTTTTCAAATGTAAAAATATTGTACCTCAGAGGCTTGAAACATGCTTGCACAAACACATGACAAGTTGCATAAAAAGAACGGTATAATAAATCCGACGATGAAAGATTCCACTTTTTTCGTCACTCCCCAAATCAATAGATTATGATCGATGCACTCCTTGATACGGACCATATCGCCACCATGTAATTTCTTAATTCTGTAGGCATTTAACTCCAATTGTCCAGTTATCAATGTAAATAGTGCAGCGGGCATGGTATCGATGGACATGTTGATTACAACAGAATAGGAAGCTGATAATATGTATAAACAAATTGTAAGATATAAAACTAGAGGACTTGAGTTTTCGTAAAATTGGAATCTTTCGAGTGGCACATGTTGTTTGTTGATTACTTTCGATGCAATATCGTAACAAAAAACCAAGATAGTTAATAAATTAAAAGACATAAAAAATACAAAGAGCCATTTTGACGTTTTCACGTGTTTTTTCAGTATCTTTTTTTCCTTGTCGTCATTGGCTTTACAGTATGAAATTTTTAAATCTTGCACTATTTCTATCACGATGTTTCGACGACGGACGATATGAATGATCTTCACGTAGTTGTTCAAGAATGCCAAAGCCAAAAACAGAGACTCGTTTAGATCTTCAATGTAGTTGTTATTTATAACAAGATTAACATCTAGTATAAGCGTAAAGTAAAAAATAATCGCTACCACAAAGAACCGGTACACTTTTCTACAGAATCCAAACTTTTCGTTTTCCTCATACCAGACACCACAAAGACGTAAGACAGAAAAATTCAGTGGTAGCACGTCCATCTTAACGGAAAGTTTTTGTTTCAATGAACATTAGAATCTCGCGACCTACTTCAAAGTTAGCAAGTAACAATTGGATGTAATTGCAGTTTAATTACAGTTTACATGAAAAACTACCTCTGTATTTTAGAAAATAAAACAACGCGCCGACCTATCAACAGGAAAAATACTCATTAAAAATAGAAATGAAGAAGGGGCGTTTGTGCATATCGATGGTTTGTCACTTATCCCTTGCTTACGTAGGACAATTCGTCGAGGTACTTCTTAATGACATCTGCTACAACAAATATAATTTAATGTTTTTATATAGTGGATATGATAGATGGTGTAACTCTATTATTGTTGTATATCTAATTTCTCGGTCTCTATTGATTCTCTTCTGCCAACCGTGTCGTACGTCGACAAATTATTTTTACTTCTTGAATACAGCAAGCACGTGTGAATTACGACCTTTGCTTCAAAAATTTTCAAGTCTGCTAAGCACACTCAATAAATTCATTCGAGATTCATTGATTTGATTCGACCATATGTACCTTTTTAGCATAAATTCATACCATACTAAATCAATATACATACATATATATGTTCTACAATTGAAACAACGACTTTTTCCAAGAAACCTCGGACAAGACACAAGATATGAGTCTCAAAGCAAAAAATCCATACGTCGAGAGAGTATGTTGTAGTCGAGGTTGTAGTTCTGTCTCGAGTAATTTCAAGGTCATGAATCCTAATTGTTTTTTGTGGGTTGAGTAACTGGTAAAATATCCAGATTTTTAAGATTTTTCATAACAACTCCTTGCTAATGATTTACAATAAACGCATAGGTTTTAAAAAAGCTTTCTCAATGGTGCTTCTAAGTATACAATATAATATAATAATCTCATGGGTTTTTTGCCACATCATTCATCTTACATCCTGTCCATCCTTGATGCAGGTACCCAGCTCATACTATGGAGTAGTCTCTTTCTGTTTATCTCAGCCTATAGTACAAGTGTATATAGTATGAAATTGGATTTCCTTAGTAAACTGTGATCAGAGCGTATGAGAGATCAGGCTTTCGCTAACGCGAGCGGTGAAGAAGAGCATGGCTGAGGCACTATAATGCTACTACTCTGATTTTGACAGTCTTCTCAGTTCGACCTCTTTCTACCTCGCTTTCTACGAAGGCTACCCTTTAACGTGGTATAAAGTTACAGTGAATATCAACAGCTGTAAGTTGTGACAACGTTTCTGGTAAAAAAAAAAATTAACTCTCCTCGTTGCATTCAGTGACAATCTGTTTCTAAGCCAGTCGTAAAAAAACGGTTGTGTGATGGAGTAATGTATTTAATCCTTTGGCTTCACATAGCATCCAATAAATTAATACGGTTTTACAGGTATAGATCCCAAAAAATACAACCCACAGATTATCTATTTTTATTTCCTGCTTATGGTTGTATTTGTCTTTATTGTATTAGTATAACATGCTCGTGTAAATAAAAGCTTCGAAGAGAAAGAGACTTCTAGCTCAATTACAAGTTTGATGCACTGTGCTTCAAATGGAATTCCCATAAGCACAAGTTCACGTGAATTGTTTGATAGTTTACATGTCCCGAATTTTTGATAGCTTTCGAGTAGCTACGCTACCTTCCGTTTCAAATACTGGGTACATACGATTGTTTTATTACACCGCTACCCGCATGCATAAAATCTTATTGTTGTTGGATCTAAGTTTATTGTTTGAGATTTTTTCAAGCAAAACCGAGCCTTCTCATTAGTATTCTGATTTGGGTGATTTTATTTCGACATAAATCAAATAGATACGTTAAAATAAACTCAAAAACCTCGTAGTCTGTAATTATACGTACAAGTTGATCGTATACACGTTAACACTTTATGAATACAAACTTGTATTACATCGCCCTGTTATTGTACTTACGCTTGTTATGCATATAAATAGAATCAATAGAATGGCATACTCTTGCATATACAAGTAACACACTTAGGGTGTTAATAAATGAACGTGAAAAACAAAAGAGTTAGCATTTATAAAGATTATCGTGTAAAACTTATGTTTCGGATTAGTATTCTTTTCTATTTTAGTATTAGTATTCTGAATCACGTATGTATTTTGAATTCTACGATAAAAATAAAACAACGCTAATAGATCTATAGGTACTAATCGAGATTCGATCGAGCCTTGGGGTCAGACCTTTGTAATTATTTGTAATTATGTAAATACATATACCTGTACGTATGTAAATTCATGAAAGGTAGAGAAACTCTTGCTAGCCATAGTTATTGTAGTTGTTAAGATTTTTTAAGCGTGTGAACCACCCTGGGCCCATTATTTTCACCTTATGGGGTGATAATGCGAGTAATATTGAATTGCTTTATTTTCAATGAAGAACTGGCGTATACGTATACATTAGCGGTTAGTAAAGTTTTTTAATTCCTTGATTAATTGTCATTTCTTCAATTTTCTGACAAGCCAATGGACATTTCATTGATTCGTTGGATACGTTTCTTGTAGCAGGAAATGTACAGTGTTTTATTTATTATCATTTTTGTACTATTAATATATTTTTACATTTGTAGTATTTATCATTGAAGTCTGTCGTGTCACATGCGGCTGAATTAATATGTCAATATCTGTTTCTAGCTTTCTTTTTCCTTTCACTTTTCAAATCAATAAATAATTAATGTTTAAACCCATGTATTTTGACACTCCTCATTTTGTTTAACACAGGAGATGGACAAAATATTTTTTGTCATCGCTAATTACTCTTCTGTTTTTTTTTTTTTTTTTTTTGTTTGTTTCGACAGGGACTTGAGACCAGCGAGTCTGGAGAAAGGCCAGGAACTACTAAGGCTAAAGTTCTACTCAGCATACGCCTGGGGCGGGCCGCTCATCATTTCCGGTCTGGCAGCCTTAATCGATCATCTGCCCTATACACCAGAACAGACCTTCCTCAAGCCACGTTTCGGCGAAAAACGATGCTGGTTCTATGGTAAGTTGATTTCAAGTCTTTTGTTTCGAAATCAGCGCGTATACTTTGCAAATGCTTGCTAATTGTAAGTAGTATGCAACACTGTCTATGGTAACTTATTCTTGTATCCATTTGCACTGAAGTAAGAAAGTGCCCATTGTGCCTTATCCTATTGAATTTTTATTTGTGGCTATTAGAAGTCAAGCTCTTTGCATACTAGATACTTCAAAAACTTTAGTATAAACTCCTTACACCTAACATTATTCTGCGTTCCAATGTCTAAGTGATACTTTTTTTGTTAGTATTGAAATACTGTTACTATTTTATGCAACATAAAAAATAGTATAACTAAATTGGCTATTTTATTGTTAAAATTAAAGGGTCCAACATTCAATTTCAATTAAATCCAAACAATGCGACATAAAAATAACTATTCCGTTCAATTGAAATGGACATAGGTAATAGGTATGGTATAATAGGTAAGTAACAAGATTAAATTTGAAGCAAGTTACCTAAATTTATTAATTTAACTATTAAATGTACTCTACGGCCATATAAAATTTCACTAAAACGAACGTAAATTTATCAACATTTACGTTATCGGCATTTATATTGGCAATTGTAATGGTTATCAAAGGTTTTTAGCACATACCTGTCATACATTAAAATTAAAACAATCACAAATTAATACTTAAAAATTTTATCAACTTCTAATTAGCACATCGCTAGCACTTCCTTTCCTCTTCCATTTTGAAAAACTTGCGTCTATGCAATCTCAATTAAAGTCAAATTCACTTAGCTGCAACAAAGAACAAGTGTAAACATCGATAATTCCAAATGTGTACACTCACATGTGAACTTTAGACCTGCTGCAATCCCACATGACATATTTATAACATACCATAACACGATTAAATGTATACGTATTCACTGTATACACATTATACTGTTGTATACATAATGTGTATACACAGGCGTCAATAACCTCAAGTTCAACAGGAGCTTCCTAGCTCTTGTCTTGTCGCGTTACATAATGCACCGCGTTTCAGTGCCGTAGTATCTTATATGTGCAAACATACGTACATACTACACCATTCAGCAAAGACAAACGTATTTGCGTGCTCCTGGTAGGGACTTTGTCAAGTGATGGAAGGAGTGAAACGAATCAAAATCTATCTACGACACTCGAGAGCGTAAGAGTTGTCGTGCTTACGATTTGTTTCAATATTATTTACCATTCATACCTATAAATTATATGTACAATGTTATAAATATTATGAACAATAGCATACCTATTTTTCGTACAATGTTCATAAGTATGTTCTTGTATGCAGGTGTTGGAAAAAAACCAGAGAGACCTTGAATAACAATAAAAATCACTCCGGTCCCCTGCTTCGTATTATCCTCACAGTGCTTCTACTGTTTCGAGACATTGTTGGCACTACAACAACAATTGAGCCTATGCAATATTTTTTTGTTTATTACTCTCTTGGCTGCACTTTATCCCCCTTCACATTTTTCAGTCATCATCCACACTCCCCTTGTAACTATCCCATTGTCCATAAAATCTATCATAGCTAGTGTTTTGGTGAAGCCTTTATACATTGCTTCTTTGATTTATTTATCCCCTGGTCATTAATCTGCTGATGTCTCGAAGATCTGGGCTGATAAAAAAGCCACCAAGTCTAATTTTTAGGACTAATTGCTTTGGTCATCTTTCGCATTACCTAGTATAGACATAGAACGTACATTTAAGAAGAAATTCTGAAAAAGGGTGATTACAGCTTATCCAGTGTTTAAAGCTTTCATCGGCCAGTGTATCGATTGTTTCTCGAAAACGGCCATGCCACAGCAAAAAAATCGGCTTTGGGGAAACTAATTATCAACAAATTATTATGTCCTTAGTTTCGTGACCTTACGATGTGGCTGTGCTAGCTCAACAGACTTTACTTCAGCCTTTGTACTTTTAAGGACTCTTGGTGAAACAGCAGAAGAGAGTGAGGGAAAATACATAAAAAGCACAAAATTATCCTCGACTTGGGGTAAATTTTCTTAAATTCTGGAAATACGTCACGAGCTGCGTTACTTCTTAAACGAAATAAAATCGTCATCTTTCGCCAGGGTTCTGTTGTCGTGAAAGATGATAAAAAAAAAAAAAAGAAGCAGTTGCACTTTGCTTTTCCGATGAATTTTATTTCAATGTCCTTACAATTCTCTAACTGAGATAATCATCTCTGTCATCTGTAGCTCTTGTACGCTTTGAAATCGTTCCGTTTGCTTTTTTCTTTCTCCTTCCTTCTTATATTCAGCAAAGTCCGTAGTTTGGCCCATCGCGGGTAATGTAAGCAGTCATCGTACCTAGTTCTCATCCATATGGCAGATTTGAATAACCGCTTTCCACAGGAGGACGAAGAAGCAGCAACAGTAACGAGAAACGTTGTGCAGGATTTTTGTTCTCCATCAACAAAAAAAAAACAAAATCAATTTGTAGGAGGTCTAAAGAGAAAAAAAATATACATACACCAATGCGATAGCAGAGTGGCTATATCGGCCACGGATGAGAGAAGAAAAGGGGGTAAAATGTGAGAACGCCATTCCTAAAAAAAAAAAGAATGATTTTTCTCTGTGCCAAAATAAAAAAATTAACAAGGGTAAAAAAAAGGCTCTGACAAAGCGCTTGGCTTTTGTGTTTATGCGTGTGGAACTATTCCATGGACGTTCTCTGTTTTTTCTTCGTAAAGAGATTCATTATTTACGATTTTCTTCTTTTATTTCAAGATGGATCTGTTTCGTCGGATTTCATGGATAGTATTATATTTACTACTAGGTCCATTTGTGCAAAAACTTTCGTACTTTTGCTATTTTTTAAATATTTTTCTGTACAAATTAATGACATGCATGTCGTTGGAAATATAAATAACAAATGAAACGAATTATAACTATGCCCTCATAGTATTATCCTCCATTCTGTGGTTGAAAAAAGTACAAGAGCATTTATGGTCATATATTAATAGTTTACTCTAATAGTAGAAAAAAGCTCTTTTCATGCTGAGATGGCTCTTTAACTCATATTTCTATAGCATTTAAGTGTGTATTTAAAACATCGTAAAAAAGTGCAAGGACAGCTTCGACCCATCATACTTTTTTTCCACCCCATATGTTTTATATAAGTTGAGAAGTTATGACACAGAAAATTGTTTTTCAAAAAAATACGATGAAGCTCATAATTTATCTGTTACACTGTAACATTACAGCTTTTGAAAAAAATGAGACAACTTTTTAGAAAAATACGAATACGATCTACAAGTTTTGCCTTCATTAAAAGTAAACTAAAGACAGGCAAGAAGCAAACGAAGCTTGATTACATAGGTAATTAAAATTTTCGTCAGATAAAGCTTACAGCAAATAGAAAAAAAGCTCAAAAAAGCTTAGGTGCAGAAAAGAGAAAGAGAGGGAGTGGTAAGTTTACAGAATAACGAACTAAAGGCAAAAAACCCTTGATGTAGTAATGTGAGGTCGAAACTGCGTGGACAGACTCGGACCAAAGATTTCAAACGACTGGGAGGTAGGAGTGCGTAAATAGACGCAAATACCAAAAACACAATTAAAAGGATTCAAAGGGCAAAAAAAGTCAATCGGAAGTGCGGAAAAGAAAGAAGAATCGAACGAAAGAGGAGAAAGAGTATATGGAAGAGACCAGCACGTAAAAGCTTTCTCGTGAACGCACGATCGCAAATACGCAAGCTTGGCCAAAATACCCCGGGCACTTGCTCTCTCCACGTGTTGTGTATATGTGTACCCATACCGAGACTAGATGGGACGGAGATATAAACCTGGCGCCAGACTGCTGCCTTTTTGCGCTACGTATACCTACTAATGCCAGAATCCGTGCTTCCATCCCTTTGCACGAGAGTCAGTACGGGGATTATCATTGGCATCCCGTGAAAAGTTATGTGCGCAGTATCGGTCGCAAAGCTAACACTAACTGCTTGTTCGTCATCAATACCGCACAAAATCACATACTTATGTAACCTCGAACATCGTTATCGTTGTGTCGCGTCCGACGATTGCATCTACATCACGTAGAAGCACTGAGCTGCAGAGTGCAACATAGTATACACAAACAATCCATGGTCGTTCAAGAGGCTCGTGAGCGATGACAATAGGTAAGACACGAACAGAAGGGCTTCAGCTGTCCTTCCATGCAGATAGGTATAAGTACACGTACTGCACATGTCTATCTGTTTGGTATGGGGAGTTTGGGGGTCATGCCCATGTATATCTTATCCCACCGTATACGACCAGTTTGCCACTGCTGTCACTGCTAGAACTGGTGTGTACGTGTGCGATAAGCATTCCAGTAATATCCCTCCATCCCTCATGCAAGGACCACCTTGCACGTATACGTAACACATAACCACCTGCGCTGTAGTATCCGGTAGATGCTACCTTTCAAGGGTAGAATACGACGATTGTTGTGAGCAGAGGGTGGGCACTCGAGCGTGGTGGCACTTGTCGACCAAATCGTTGACGATGATGACCACGAATACACACTTCTGCCAGCTAGACGTTTTATCTTTCGAGTTTGACGGGGGGTGGCGAGGAAGTAGAGAAGGAGGAAAAAAGCAGAGACTGCGGCAATTTATTTCGGATTACCACGACTCCCCGCCCTCATTGGCTTTCGGGTGTGTCCCACCCCCCTCGTTTGGCTCGCTCTCTCTCGCGTAAATATACACGCCACGAAGCCGTGCGCTGGAAAGGGGGGGGGGAGGAAAATACCCAGACTACTGCACATCGGATGGGTCCACAAGAGCCAAGAGAAGCCTAATAAACGAGCGGAACGGACCGGCGTGCCGTTTCGCAAAACAGTTTAATGCAATTATCGCGATTGAGCGAACGCCGCTGCCGATCGACCCTTTTTCCCCCCGACACACGGGCGCGGTGGTGATACAGTGTACTTGTACTGCGTGTTTTCCGCTACAGCGTTGCTCTTGCTTAATTTATTGCCGAATCGCTTCCCG